TAATCACAGTGAAGAATCTAAACTCAACAAGTATGTTGATTTCAGCCATCGGCACTACATTGTTATAGTAGGATCCGAGACCATTGAACCCCGGGGAAAATTTTGCAACAGGCTTCCTCAGTGACCTAAGTCCCAGCCTCATCAACACTACTCTGTTCCAGAGTATCGGTGTGGCGTTCCAGAGGGGCTGTGCCTTTCTCATTCTCGGTTCCCGACCAGCTTCTGAGGATATGGATGAGATTCATTAGCTGTTCGACAATATTGTTCTAATGTTTACGGGACTGTGCCACTGAAACAAATTCTAACCTAAAAAATACATTAGGGATTAAAGGAAAACATTTTTTAAATAGATTCTAGAGACTCCTTAAGATTTTTTCTTTGAAGGCATTTTATTCACATGTCTGAGGCTACGAATCCTCAAAAATTTGCTCTAGCGTTTTCATTACCTGCAATTTTTTTATCCTCGGAAAATTTTTCATTATTGTTCAGTATAATTACAGCCAGATGACTCCTTGATGTTAGTGTCATGCTGATCCTTGATGTTAGTGTCATGCTGATCCTTGATGTTAGTGTGACGCTGATCCTTGATGTTAGTGTCATGCTGATCCTCGATGTTAGTGTCTAAAATGGGGTCTATATGAAGAATGTTAAATGACCAATTTCATCAGGTTTAATTTTATCACAGTACTGATTGAGATTTATAGTTGTTCGATGTTGTTTTAGTTATGACCCTGAAGATCGTGTCACCCTCACCCAGAAAGAATAAATATTCCAATACCGTGGCTGGAACAATTCACCAAAAAGACATAGTAGTACAGCCTTATGTCGACGTTTCGGTCCATCCTGGACTATAGTCAAGTCACAGCTGTTATGACTTGAAAATCCAGGACGGAACAAAATGCCCACATAAGGTTTCTTTCCTAAATGCGTGTTTTTGGTGGCAAATTTTATATTTGTCTTGTCTATGGAAAAAGAAATGGATCTGAAATTTTGTTTTATTATATTCATGAAGAAATACTAGGCCTACAAGGGTCATTCAGTGCCTATTTGTAAATTTATTTTATTGTATTCATGAGGGAGTGCTAGGCCTACAAGGACCATTCAGTGCCTATTTGTAAATTTCTTTTATTATACTCATGAGGAAGTGCTAGGCCTACAAGGGCCATTCAGTGCCTATTTGTAAATTTCTTTTATTGTATTCATGAGGAAGTGTTAGGCCTACAAGGGTCATTCAGTGCCTATTTGTAAATTTCTTTTATTATATTCATGAGGGAGTGCTAGGCCTACAAGGGTCTTTCAGCGCCTATTTGTAAATTTCTTTTATATTCACTAGGAAGTACTAGACCTACAAGAGTCATTCAGTGCCTATTTGTAAATTTCTCTTATTGCATTCATGACGGAGTGCTAGGCCTACAAGAATCATTCAGTGTCCATTTGTAAATTTCTTTTATTATATTCTTGAGGGAGTGCTAGGCCTACAAGGGTCATTCAGTGTCTAAGGAATGGAAGGAAAGAGCACTTCAAATCTCATGGATGAAATACACTCCATTAGCGAGCATGTGGCAGAGCTACTAAGGAGCACCGTAGCCTAACGAGGAGAAATTTTGTCAGCTTTCATTCCATTATTCAAGCGCAGAATTTGGCATAAAATTTAGTAGTAGATACCGAGAAATTGGTTTAAAGAGACACGTAAGCACACACTTGGACATATTAGAAAACGTTTCGGTCCTGGGACCGAAACTTTTTTTAATAAATGTCCTAATGTTTACTCACGTGTCTTCATAAACAAAACGCAGAATTTCCCTTAAAAGCTCAAGAAGACTGTGATTTTTTTATGAACATTGTAAATATTTTTTCGAATCACAAAAATATCACAAAAGCAACATACAAACCGAACTTGAAAAGTGAAAGCGTGTTATTAACTTTCTACAGTGAGTAAAAGCTGTCATCTGCAACAACAACAACGACAGGAGCCGAGTTGCTGGCGTGAGAAAGTGCTTCCACGAGGCTTCTCCCTTCTCGGGGAATTTTGGTGGACCACAGACTAATGTATTTAGCAAACCTGGATACGGTCGCAATGTGCAACCGCAGTGTGCAGTTACCGTAAACTATAGCTACACATTCCTATATCCACACTGGGTACACCCACAGTGGGCGGCTACCGTATCCTATATGAGAGCTACATTTTGGAATCTCCCGAAATGAAAGCAAAAGCTGGTTTTAATTCTGCCATTTTCTATCCCCTAAGGAGGTTTACATTATGTGAAGAGAACATCGTCAAGCATTACATTCAAAGGGAAAGTTTGGCTACAAGACATAATTTTTTTCTGAGCCTTGAATACTGTGATGCATGATTGTTGAGTCAACAGAATTTTATATATTTAGGTGTCTCCAGTAGGTACCGCTCAGATACGGTGGATGAATTTGAAAATTCAGAGATGGCTTCCAAGGCGGTTACTGGTAACTTGTGAATTAATGAAGACGCACACAATCAGCATGAATATAGACGCTGGTAACGGGAGGCCTCTAACTGCGACGTTTCTCCCAAGTCTGAGTTTTAGTGAGAGTACAGGAAAAAATCAGAAACGGCTTTAAGAGGCACACGAGCGCCCTGAGAGTCAGGCTCGGAAGATATAGACAAGTCATGGGTGACAACTAGCTTCTCTAAAGAATAGAAAAAGGGTAGATAATTCTGGCAGAGGATCAGTTAATAGGATAACCGTGATCTCTAACACGACAGAAGCTTGGAGCATTTGACAAAGTAATGAGAAAGGAAAGTATATGCAGAGACAAAGCCAGGACTAAGATTCATATTAGCAAAGTTGTGTATAACGAATGCTTCAGTAAGACGGTGTCTGTGAAGGCTGGAAGAAGGGTATAAATGTTGATATAATTGCCGACAATATGTTAGGTAGAAGGACACAAGTGCAACTAATGAGACATTTTATTGTGGCAACTTTTCACTCTCCAGGGCTTTATCAAGCCTTTACAAATAATACATGGACACAGAGGGTATACACCCTCTGTGTCCATGTATTATTTGTAACGGCTTGACAAAGCTCCTGGAGAAATGAAACGTTGCCACAATAAAATGAAGGGTAGACAATTCTGGCAGAGGACCAGTTAACAGGATAACCGTGATCTCTAACATGACAGGAAAGAGCATTATTAGTGTCGGCAAGGTTAATACTTGCGTTCTTTAAGTCTGTCAGAATGGTCCAAGCGGACCGAAACGTCGTTATGAGTTTCAGTCTACTATCGTATTGTTCCCTCTTATACTTTAAAGAAATAACACACTTGTAGATATATATATATATATATATATATATATATATATATATAAAATATATATATATATATATATATATATATATATATATATATATATATATATATATATATATATATATATATATATATATATATATATTATATATATATAATATATATATATATATATATATATATATATATATATATATATAGACAGTGATACATACCTCTGCTTACATAACCATGAGTAATCTGATTATTACAGAAAATTATATTGTCAAATGGAGCAGAGTGAAGCCTTCTGCGCCACTATTATGCATGTTGAACACTGCAGTGCGTCACGTGGGCGTCAATGTGACGACACTTTTCACAGTCATTCATTACGTTGCTTCAGAGAGGAAATGGGAAAGTGGTTAATAAAGAAAAATTCTTAGTGATTTACAGGCTTATTTATCTAGGTTGGTTCATGGGGTGAAAAGCATATCGACTACATTAGGGTTGTTAAAGACAGGACGGTAACAACTAGACGTGATTACTTTAATCCCTAAAATAGGGATTACATTAAACTCCCATTAAATTGAGCTGAGCTCAGTGTGTGTATCCTGCAAGAACCCCCCCCCGTCCCCCGTCCCCCCGTCCCCCCGTCCCCCCCTCACTCTGGCATCAAGGAATTTGTTAAGCAAAAGGACACATGTGCAACTAACACGACGTTTGACTGAGGCAACGTTTTGCTTTCCAGGAGCGAAACAAAGCTCCCGGGAAGCGAAACGTTACCCCAATAAAATGTCGCATTGCCTGAACGTGTGTTCTTTTACATAACATATTGCAGGTAATTCTGCCAATATTAACACACCAAAGAACTTCCCCAGAGAGGAGTGGCATGTGAAAAAAAAATTCCTACGTAGTCCTTCCTCTTAATCCACGAAATTCAGGATTTGCATGACCGGATTTAAGGGATGGAAATACGGAACCATTATCCAGGGGCCCACACACAGCACGTTGGGGCCGCAACAAAAAAGCAATCTATACCTTTATGAACTTTTTTCAATAGATAATTAAAACCATATTAATCTTGGGATATTTGATTTACAGTAATAATAAAGAATAACGCAAAATATAATAATTAATAATAATAATAATTGGAAACACATTTCTTATAGCCAGTTTTAAACTTTGTGGAGATGTGTTTTTCCCTCAAAAAATTGGCCTTGATTTTAGGTTAAGTTTAAACTTGCACATTTATAATCAACTGTGTAAATTTGGCACAGATGCAACGATTGGCGACTCATTTTTCTTAGAATACGTATCGCTCACCAGGAGCTTTCCCAACCCAGTGAATTCATATGATTTATTAAGCTGCTGGTGGTCGAAACGTATCGTAATAAAAAATTTAAAATAGTATTGCACGTATTTCTAAACTATGCACTTGTCGGTACACCATTACTTCCCAGTACCTCAAATATAAGCTTAATATAGCTCTTCTAATACAAAGGTGCAAAAAAAAAAAAAAAGGCACAGAGGTGCGGAACTGGCTCTATACATAATACATTATAGCAACAAAAGTGTCTTGTGAAGGTCAGCTACAAGATACGGATCACCCACCACGACTCACCCTGATCACCCACCACAACTAACTTTGATTACCCTCCACGACTCACCTTGATCACCCATCACGACTGATCCTGATCACCCACCACGACTCGCCCTGATCACCCACCACAACTCACCCTGATCACCCTCCACAACTCATCATGATCACCCTCCATGCTACTGTTAAGGCCGGATGTTACGATAACTCAGACGCACCAAGCGTGTATTATAATGTGAAAATGAGTGTAAATCGTTGGTTATCTACTGGTGCGTTGTTACCACCCTTCACCACCTGCTGTTGCGTCGCTACGACCCTCCCCTGCCCGCTGATGCGTTGTTACCACCCTTCACCACCTGCTGTTGCGTCGCTACGACCCTCCCCTGCCCGCTGATGCGTTGTTACCACAGTTCATCATCTGTTGGTGCGTCACTACGACCTTCCACCACTTGCTGATGCGTTGTTACCACCTGGTGTGCACTACTGCCACTCACTATCCCTTGTCTCTCACTCTTCATACACATCTCTCAATGTTTAGTAAACTTTTTTTCTCAGTGGATGTTTCTGGACTGTCTCCGTGCCTCAGACTCTGGACTGTCTCCGTGCCTCAGACTCTGTACTGTCTCCGTGCCTCAGACTCTGTACTGTCTCCGTGCCTCAGACTCTGTACTGTCTCCGTGCCTCAGACTCTGGACTGTCTCCGTGCCTCAGACTCTGGACTGTTTCCGTGCCTCAGACTCTGGACTGTCTCCGTGCCTCAGACTCTGGACTGTCTCCGTGCCTCAGACTCTGTACTGTCTCCGTGCCTCAGACTCTGGACTGTCTCCGTGCCTCAGACTCTGGACTGTCTCCGTGCCTCAGACTCTGGACTGTCTCCGTGCCTCAGACTCTGGACTGTCTCCGTGCCTCAGACTCTGGACTGTCTCCGTGCCTCAGACTCTGGACTGTCTCCGTGCCTCAGACTCTGACTGTCTCCGTGCCTCAGACTCTGGACTGTCTCCGTGCCTCAGACTCTGGACTGTCTCCGTGCCTCAGACTCTGGACTGTCTCCGTGCCTCAGACTCTGGACTGTCTCCGTGCCTCAGACTTCGTACTGTCTCCGTGCCTCAGACTCTGGACTGTCTCCGTGCCTCAGACTCTGGACTGTCTCCGTGCCTCAGACTCTGGACTGTCTCCGTGCCTCAGACTCTGGACTGTCTCCGTGCCTCAGACTCTGGACTGTCTCCGTGCCTCAGACTCTGGACTGTCTCCGTGCCTCAGACTCTGGACTGTCTCCGTGCCTCAGACTCTGGACTGTTTCCGTGCCTCAGACTCTGGACTGTCTCCGTGCCTCAGACTCTGGACTGTCTCCGTGCCTCAGACTCTGGACTGTCTCCGTGCCTCAGGCTCGTGTGAACAGTAATCTCAGGTGAAGATTTTGAACCAGATCACCTAGTTCATTTTCAGGTGCACTATATACATACTGTGATGTACATTTCTCATCCTACACCCCAGAATTAGATTTTAGATTTGGCCACCGAAATGGCTAGTTTACCGTGCACCCCATATCCACCTCGTGATGGATCAGGGTCTGATCAGCGGTAGCCATACCACTCTCCTCCTCGTCCAATCCATCGCTCTGGGTATCGTGCATCCATGGAATCTTTGGTCATACAACTAAACTACGATGGTGCACTATCATGCATGTACCACAGTTGTCTTCGAAGGTACGTGGTGCATCCTCCAGTAGGTGTGGTAGATCATCGTCTAAGAAGCGCCGGTAAGAGGCTCCTGTCCAGCGTGCGGGAAGGTGTCGGCTAATCAGGAAGTTGCAGATTATTCCAGCCTAAATGTACAGCGAATACTGACACTGGTATTAGCGCAAACCTCTAAAACTGGACTAATGTTAAGCGCTAAACCCAGACTCGCTTCGTATGTTCTAGCGTATATAATGTAAATAGGGAAGTTGGTTTTAGATATAATGTAAGAAATTGTCTTAGGTTCTATAAGTTGAAGGTACAAATGTATCAGCAATTATCTCTGTGCATATTTAATATTGTGATTTGATAAAGACCTCCATGCAAAGGCCGGGGTGGGGGGTGGGGTCGTCTTTATCCTTAAAACTGCACTTGTTTTTCTCTAAGAAAATGGTTATAACTAACTATACTTTTTAAAGGGGGTTGACCCTTAAGCCAGCGGAAGGCCTCGGTCAGATGACCAAAAGCTTCACTGGTGGGTCATCATTTGAATAAGGCCCGAGTCAGGAAAGACTTGTCCTGTTTCCTGACAAACATTATACCTAACCTACCTCGTGCTACCTAACTGCATGTTGCTACTTCCTCCAAGCTACATAGAACCAGCTTTATCACTAAACCAATTAGCAGTGCTACTACTACTACTGTAGCAGTAGTAGCAACAGTAGTAGTAGTATTAATAACAGTTGTTTTAGTGGTAGTGAACTCCTGTCAGACGTCTTCACGGTTTGTCGTATTAAGGATTCTTGCTAAACTTTCGGAGATGACAAAGGAGCTTGTGTTCCATTTAACTGCGTCTGGCATGGAGATTAATGATGCTTCGAGGCATTTTCATCTTCGGGTGCCTTGAAGCGTCATTAATCACCACTTCAGACACAATCACACAGACGAAAGGCAGCTTCGTCATCCCTGAAATATTAGCACTATACCTTAAAAACGATAAATCCCTCTTCACCCCACAAAAAAGTCACCTCTGTTGCTGCTATTACTGCTACTACTACTAATATTTCTTTTATTAATTCTTTCTCGTTTTCGTCTTCTTTATTCTTCGTCTACGTCTTCTACGTCTACGTCTTCTTCGTCTTACACTTTTATTCTTCTTCTTATTATTATTATTGCTACTACCACTACTACTACTACTACTACTACTACTACTACTACTACTACTGCTGCTACTACTACTACTACTACTACTACTATTACTACTACTACTACTACTACTGCCACTACTACTACTACTACTGCTACTACTACTACTACCACTACCCACTACTACTACTACTACTACTACTACTACTACTGCTACTACTACTACTTCTACTGCTACTACTACTACTACAGCTACTACTACTACTACTACTACTACTACTACTACTACTGCTACTACTACTACTACCACTACTACTACTACTACTACTACTACTACTACTACTACTACTACCACTACTACTAACTACTACTACTACTACTACTACTACTACTACTACCACTACTACTACTACTACTGCTACTACTACTACTACAACTACTACTACTACTACTACTACTACTACCACTACTACTACTACTACTACTACTACTACTACTATTACTACTACTACTACTACTACTACTACAACCACTACTACTACTACTACTACTACTACTGCTACTTCTACTACTACAACTACTACTACTACTACTACTACTACTGCTGCTACTACTACTACTACCACTACTACTACTACTACTACTACTACTACTACTACTACTACTACTACTACTACCACTACTACTACTACTAATATAGAGTTTCCAGTTTTTCAATTATCCCCGCTTCTTACACTTCGTCATGTTCCCTTTATATAGGGTCTATGTTCCTTTGTTTTTATTAGTTTGGTAAAGCTCCGGAGAGAAACGTAGCTGCAATAAACGTTTCATTAGTTACTCTTGTATCTTTTTACCTAACATACTGCCAGTACTTTTACCAATATGTATCTAATTTTTTATTACCTACCATTGCAACAACATGACACCGTCAACACATTCTCCACTTTTTTTTTTTTTTGGATATCTTGCTTTCCGATTTTTTATAATCTCTAATCATTCATAGGCTTTTCTTCAATTTTTTTGCTTTCTCTGTCTCCCTTCCTTATGCATTATTGAATTCACATCATCCAGTTGTTTTGCAACATTTTTAAGAGTCATGTAAGCTAACATGAGTTGGTTAACGTGTTGACAAATGAAGATAATTAAGATACCTATATGTTATATGTGTCATAAACATTTGCTTGTCGGTATTATATATCATTATATAATTCACTCTGTGTTTTTTTTATGACCCATTTCCTCAGCCATTTCTGAATGCACCAACCGATGCACGCTATTTCAAATTATTTTTAGTATTTTCCCATACTTCTGGCTCTTTCCTTCTTCAGACAATTATATTTTTGCTCTCTGCCTCATGTCTCAGTTTCTTTAATTACAATGAGAAACTTCTCAAATATTCTCCATCATTGTAATACCTCTACGTCCTTATTCAATACTTTCATTTTTACCAGACTATTGCTTTTCTTCCCTTAGTTTTCTCTCCTTTGTTCTCTCCAAAAAAATTGCGCCTTATTAAAATTTTCTTATTTGATATTTGCCGCTCCTTCACTATTCTTTTAACCTCTGTTGCATATTCCATGTTTTCTCTTTTCCTTAAACCCTAATTTACATGTGAAACTTGTTCACAAGAGCATTCATAATTCTACACAATAATCCCTTATATCCTCCTAAGAATGTTTTACTACCCAACTTTTCCTGGAACTTTGTCCATACATAAATTACCCATTTGATTGTTCCGTTCTCCCCGCCGCCTTTTTTTTACGGTTCACTGACACCCTTCACATTTTACACTATGTTCTTCTTACACAAGCTGCCCTAAATAATGATCAAGGAACAGTCGTAACTCTAAGAGCGTACTATTTTTTTTTTCTTATGAAATTCACCATTCAGAAATTTAGTAAGACAAGTTTGTCACCGAATCTCTACTTGGAGTATATCTTCTAACATACTTTGCCTTTTATTAAACTGTTTCAAAGCAGAGTTTAATTTAGTGTTCCTCTACAGCAGCAGTTTTTAACCATTGGGGGCTCGCCCCCTAGGGGGCATGAGTAATTTCCAAGGCTGAGGACGCGAACCTACAGTCAAAATAACGTTTTCACTTTATACATTTCCGATATACAGACTCTTTTGAATATGTTAGTTAAAGGGACATAATTGCAACTAATGTAACATTTTATTGGGGCAACGCCTCGCTCTCCTGGAGCTTTATCAAGCCGTTGCGGCTTGATAAAGCTCCTGGAGAGCGAAACGTTGCTACAACAAAATTTCACATTAGTTTTACCTGTATCCCTTTACCCAACATATTGTTAGTAATTCTGCCAACATTAATACAGTCTTTTGAATAGTATAAAAAAAA